GAATTACCTGATGGTTGGGATTTACAATTAGATAAATTTCGTCGTCTACTATTAATTCGTTCAATAACACCAGCACGTTTTGTTAAATCAGCCAATGATTATATTATTGATTCATTAGGAACAAAATATGGTGAAGGTGTTGTACTTGATATGGAAAAAAATGTGGGATGAATCAGATAAATGTTCACCAATGATATGTTTTCTATCTATGGGTTCAGATCCATCGGTACAAATTGAAACATTAGCAAAAAAGAAATTAATTGACTGTAATGCAATATCAATGGGACAAGGACAAGAAGTTCATGCACGACGATTATTAGCACAAGCTTATATAAATGGTACATGGGTATTATTACAAAATTGTCATTTATCATTAGAATTTTGTGAAGAATTTTTATTACAATTAACTGAAAATACTGATCGTATACATCCTGATTTTCGTCTTTGGATAACAACAGAAGTGCATCCGAAATTTCCTATTGGTCTACTACAAATTTCAATAAAATATACAGCTGAACCACCACAAGGTATAAAAGCAGGTTTAAAACGAACATTTGCTGGTTTAACACAAGAACAACAATTAGAAACAAATACACAAGAAAAATGGCGACCATTATTATATACAGTTGCATTTTTACATACAATTGTACAAGAAAGAAGAAAATTTGGTCCACTTGGATGGAATATACCATATGAATTTAATCAATCTGATTTTAATGCAACTGTTCAATTTATTCAAAATTACCTCGATGAAATGGAAGTATCAAAAGTAAAAAGAAAAATCTTTTTTTTTCATATCAAATTTTTCATGTTTTTTAGCCAATACAATGGAAAACTATACATTACATGATTTCCGAAGTACAATATGGAGGTATGAATAATACTTTTGAAAAATAAATGAAGTTTAAACTTAATAAATTTAGGACGTGTAACCGATGATTTTGATAAACGTCTTCTTAAAACATATGTTCAATGTTGGTTTCGTGATGAAATGTTTGATCCAAATTTTCAATTTGAAGAAAAAACTTATCGTATACCAAAAATAACACATATGGATGACATTTTCAATTATATAGATACAATACCAAATTATGATAGTGGAAAAGTATTTGGATTAAGCCCATTAGCCAATGACAGGTTTGTAAAATTTAATACAATAAAAAATCTAGCGATTGGGCTGAGTGGGCGGCGCTCACCCAAAATTTTCATTTCGCTCACCTGAAAAAAGAAACGTGGATAAAACATTGTTTCATTTAAAATTATTTATTTTTATTATTCATAGATATCAAGAAGATACAACTAGGAGAGTTCTCGATACAATTTTAAGTATTCAACCAAAAGAAGCTCGTGGTGGTGCAGGTGAAACACGTGAAGCTGTTATTTATCGTTTAGCAACAGAAGCCTTAGAAAAATTACCACCGGATTATATTGCTCATGAAGTCAAAGAACGTCTTTCAAAGCTTGAACCAATGAATATTTTTCTTCGACAAGAAATTGATCGTTTTCAACGTGTAATTAGTGTTGTACGACATACATTAATTGATTTAAAACTAGCTATTGATGGTACAATTGTTATGAATGAAGAATTACGTGATGCACTTGATCGAATGTATGATGCTAAAATTCCAAATGTTTGGTTAAGATACTCATGGGAATCATCAACATTAGGTGCTTGGTTTAGTGATTTATATGCACGAAATGAACAATATCGTTCATGGTTAAAACTTGATAAAGATACAAAACCACTTGCTTATTGGATGACAGGATTTTTTAATCCACAAGGATTTTTAACAGCTATGAGACAAGTAAATTTTATTTTCGTTACTTCTACTTTTATTTCTATTTTCTTTAAAGGAAATAACAAGAGCGAATCCAGGTTGGTCACTTGATAATGTTATCTTAACAAATAAAATCACACGATTTGATCGTGAAAGTATAAAAGAACCACCAAAGGACGGTGGTGTTTATGTATATGGTATTTATATTGAAGGAGCAAAAATAAGAAACGGTGTCTTGGATGAATTAAAAGCAAATGAAAAAGTATTAACACATCCAATGCCTGTGATACACATATCAGCTGAAGCTGATTTTGGTACAAGTGGATCACCTACAAAACAAGATCGTCGTCCAACTTATTATGCACCTGTTTATAAAAAACCACGTCGAACTGATAGAAATTATGTATGTACACTTAAATTAGAATGTCCACCTGGTGATAAAACAGGACCCAATGTATGGACATTACGTGGTGTTGCACTTCTTTGTGATATTAAATAGACAATGTGCATAGACATTTTTCAATATTATTTGTGCAGTAACAAAAAAAAGAAGATTTTATTGATCTTTTAATGTCCCCTTTTTTTTTGATGTTGTTATCTATTAAACTATCTTTATATGTTGTTTTATATTTAATGAAATATAATATCTTTAACTTACAGATTATCTTATCAGAATAAGAAAACAAAAAAATGAATTAGAAAGAATAACTATATGTGTTAATAATAATAGTAATATGATAGAAATGCCTTTTACTGATTACAAGTAATGAAAAATATTATAATAAGTTTTTGACATAAGATAGGAAACTATTAATCATCCTAGTACTAAGTAGAATAACATGTCTATCAGCTATGTTATCTTAGAATAATATTTCGAACATACAAACAATAAATCTTTCACATTTTGTATTGTCATTAGAGAGAAATTATCCGTAAAAATACAATGAACCTTGATTGAGTCATTCAATATATATTCTCGTATAGAATTATCTATTTGTTTAGAACTGAGATTTTATTTATTTATAGATGATAGTTTACTATTGAAAGAATTTTTGAATAAATCTTATTATTGCTGAAGGGATGCAAAGATGACTAAATTTGAATAATTGTTACTTGATATTACAGAGTTTGATGAAGAATTAGTCCAGTTAGTTGAACATGTTGATTCTTTTGTAAAAGAAAAAAAAAATTTCGATTCAAATTTTAGTAGTATGAATTGAAAAAGAGATCAATACTATTTGTATTCCTTTCGGCTGCAATTCTATTATTAATGCATCATAGAATAATTCGTATTGTTTACTTTTGCATTAATGAAATTTTATCTTATACTAAAATTAGATTTTAATTCGATTTCTCTACGATAATATATAATCTTTTCATCATTAACTTTATTTTACTGATCTACACAGAGTCATAGGAAGCTAAATAACTTTGTTATTATATCAATAAGATTGTTTATAATACAGTGGATAAGTTTCGAATATACATACAAGAACTAAAGCAATAGTATTACAAAGATTCATTTTTTTTTTTGAAAAAACATTATATATCAAATAGTATTATTAAGTATATAAATGGTTTGATAGACATTTTGTCAATCGTAATTTCTTTATATATGTTAATGTGAATATTACATAATCTTTAAATATGAACAGCTATTTTTTGTCTCTCGACAATATTACCGCATCAAACAAATGATCTAATCAATTGCTTTTCTGACACCATACACCAAATGTTGATTTTCACAGATTACATAATCATATCTATTATCTATACATCCGTATATAACATAAGGTTCATTAAGCAAATCATTTCAATAAAACATTAAAAAAAAATTATCGAACATAAATTTAACAAATTTTTTATATCTTATAAGATATTTTTTAAATTCATCTATACATATAAATATCAAAACTACTTTTATTATAGACGTAGTTGTATACAGTAAGTAAAAGTTATTATATAGACATCTCCTTCGTTTTACTTAAATATCATGCCATTCAAGATTATATGAGTAGGTGTGTGACGACCCGTCATTGTAGTTATCGAGAACAAGAAATGTACATAATGGGTACGCCTATCAATATTCTTTCTTCTGTATATCTCTTCTCCATTTTCTCAACATCTGTATACATATGTCTATGCCTGTCAACATACAAGACACAAAAAAAAAAAGAAGAAAGAAGCTGCATACACATGCGTATATAAAGGCTAAAAATACTGTCAAGGATACAGTTAGTTATTTCTATGTGATGACAGAGTATGTTTTTGTGCAGAACGAAGCAAATACAAGTGATGAAAGAAAGAACAAACTAAACGAATAAGGTATTCTATTCGTCTGTATAACATTATCGTTGTTAACACACACGTTATATATGGCTTCTTCGACTATTATTCCTGTTGTTTATACTCAACATTCATCAAATAAAAATCATATAAGATCCCCATCACATAATTATTCAATTCAAGATCATGGTAAAGGATGTCGAACATATTCATATGAATTTGATTTACTTGATTATGAACCAGAACAAATCACTGTTATACTTGATGACTATGGTACATTACGCATACGTGCACATCGTCCTCCATGTCGTGAATTTAAACGTGAATATAATCTTGGTGGGCCCGATGTTGAAACAACAATTGTAAGAAATACAATTGATAATCGTGGACTTCTTCGTGTTGATATTGAAGTTCGACCACGACGTCATGATTTACAAACAAATAATAATGATGTTCTTACATTTGATTTACAAGGTTATAAACCTGAACATGTTACTGTTCGAATAAATCGAAATGGTTTACTTAAAATCAATGGTCAACATATTGATAATACATATGGTAATCATATTAATCGTGAATATTATCGACAATATCAATTACCCTCGAATATTGATCCTGATCAAGTACATGCTCGTATGGATGCAAATCAAATATTAACGATTCAATTACCATCACCATCACACTCAAAAAATTATACACAACGTGAATATTGGGTACCTGTTCGTGAACGAAATTATCCGCCATATTATGGTGCTGGACCTAATGGTGCTTATTGTTGTTGCAATATTATGTAATAAGATGAAAAATAAATAAAGAGACCTATATATATACAAATATATTTATTCATTTAGTAAAAAAGAAAAGAACAAAAAATAAACATTTTTTTTTATTTGTTAACATTTTTCTACTACATTTTGTCTTGTAGTACTATATATACCATCAATTTTGTTAATATAACATAGAAAATTAATTCCATTTAATAGATATTCATGAAAAATACATATTGGATATAGTTGATCGTATTTCATATTAGATTGTTTATCCATATAAATACGTCGATTATCTAAAATATGTTTTAATTCAGGAATATTATCATTAACATATTTTAGATAGTCTTTTTCTGTTGCTAATGGTAAAGATAATGTTTTATTTAATTTTTCTAGAATTAATTGAATAAGACGAACAATATTAATTAAAATTTTTTGTGTTGTTAAAATTAATGTAGCTGTTGGAACACAAGTGAGAAGAGTTTGATGAGCACCTAAAATAATGACTTCAATTATCTTTCTTGTTTATTATAAAACAAACTGAGCAATAAAGATACAAAGAAAAATAGTTATAAGACAATCACAGCAGTAACTATTGATTCTACTTTTACGGACATCTGGCTGGAAGCCACTCAATTAAAAAGTAATTAAATCGAGAATGGCACCTTACGGCGCATAGCAGCTTGCATCAATCGAATGTTGCAACAAGAGAACACTATTGTCTATAAAATTAGATTCAAATTTATGGAAGTTCACAAAATGGGTGTGTTTTAAAGGAATGACTTTAATTATTTTTTATTTAGTAGATCATAAAAACGAATTTTGTTCTATAATAAACAATATTCAAAAATCAATCGTTGCTATATAATAGAGTGTATTCGTTCAATAATATATAGCCCTAGCAATTTAAATGAAATTATGAGAATTAAACTCTATAGATTTAAAGAAGCAAGCTGTTCATTCGTTTTCTCTTTTAACTCATATATATAACTCTAATGCTCTATTGAAAATAAACTATTAAAAAGCGACCTGAATTCTTTTAGACTTTTCTCTCTCGATGTATACTCATATTATAAGATATTTTGCAAAAATTTGTTTAATACGCGTAAAAACATTTAATTATTTCGAAAAGAAACCGTTTTATAGTAGAAACCCGAATCGAATATATTTCACTGATATCCTATAAAGAATCTATATCTAAGCAATATAATTCTTCTTCTGTAACTAACCATTCGAAGATAAATAAATATGTGCTTGTTGATTAATCATAACATGTCGATCGATTAGAACCGTTGATATTTTTTCAATTGATTCATCTTCTGCAATAAATAATCGATTACATGGTATACATCGATAAACTTTTAATAGAAATTCGAATGTTTGTTCATCTAATGAATCAATAATATTTATATTTGCTTGATGTAATTCAAAACGAAATAATTCATCAATAAATGATAATGAAATAATTAAATTGACATCTATTAAATATTTTTTTATAAATTGACGATAGATTAATGTATCATAAGAAACGAATTCTTGATTTTTATCAATTATTGAAAATGATGAAGATTTATCAAATTCAGTTGATTCAATATTTAAAAATACAACGGTTAATTTACTATTAGAAATAAATGATGGTAATAATTTCTTCGAATTATGAATTGGTAAAAGTATTCCATCAATTAAACGAGATTGTGCTATTGACGAACCTGTAGTAATAAAAGATAATTGTTGATTATAAATAAGATAATCATCAATTCGATCGAAATTATCTATATATAAAAAAGAAAAAGTAGTCGTTTTATTTTAATTTCATAGATAAATACAAACGTTTGATTAAACGAGAGAGAAGATCATAATATGAACCATTTCGATCGAAAATTATTCTTGGTAATGTATCAAAAATATGATTAATTAATAAATCAATATTAATATCTTCCTTTTTACGAAGAATATTGTTATCTATTGATATATAATCAAGTAATTGTAATTTTTCATAGATATTTATAAAAAATAAACGTCGTTCATTTATATTCATTTTAACAATATCATGATCAAATACTAGATCATGTAGAAAAAATGCTAATGTTTTTACATTTGTACCTAATTGTTCTTCAAATGAAACAAAATGATTACTAAGAAGTTGAGTAATAGCCGTCGGAGAACTATTAGTAGATGAAGATCGATGAGCACGAATTAAATCTGCTCCGAAAATTAATTGAGCAAAATGACCATCTGTACTACAATGAAGAGCATAATGTTGAATACATGATGAAAATAGATTACAGATAATTGTCAAACTGGATTTAATTTGATCAAGAAATGACATATGATTAAACTAGAAGAAAAGATGTTGAACTTCTTTGTTCATTGAATTAATTCAGCCATAACATCATATATCTATCTCGTTATCATAGTTTCTAGGAAAAATATAATCTATTCTTGT